ACGTGCAGATTGTAATAATCCATGTGGCTTAGATCGAAGTACTGATCGAAGTACAAGAGGAGTGTCCTTTTGAAATTATTAACGTATTCAGGTATAACCTCCTATGTGTAAGACAACATTTCCAAATGGATGCACGGCTAAGGAACCTTAGCAATGGTAGGTGATGGAACAACCCAGGTAGAGAATAACATTAGAGGATATCTCGTGACGGGGGAAAAGGGGATATTTTCACTTGTGTCTACGCCACTCGAAAACATGATATTTCACTCGACACATGGGATATCTTATTTATTATATATTCTTCGTATTCTTGTCTACCGGAAAATTAAATTATTTCATTACAAATGCAAAACCTTGAAACGAGATTCTCATTAACTAACACACAGTGGCAGTTCACCACCCCTTGTATTTGCGATTAAAAAAGTAGTTATATGAGAAACGTATAGTTTATACCGAACCATTTTCAAGAGAATAACACACGACATGGAGCGATATTAGGCGGGGAAGTATAAGGGTTAGTTTGTTTTTGACTGAAGGAGAGCGCCATTTTTGTTTCTCTAAAAAAATGGAGTCTGTAAAATGAGGGTGACTTAATCTTGACATGTTTTATTTAATCGCGTGCCACATTCTGTAACTTACCCTTGTTTCGTAATGTAGATAACCCATGCAATTTGTTCATTTTGTTTTTAAAAGAGCTAAACATTTTTAGGGGAAATATATATTGCGAATTGAGCGATTACCTCATTTAGCTATAGGCGAAGTATATAGCTTCACCACGCAATGACCTTGCAATGCTGTACATCGTATCTTATTCAAGCCGTATCACTCTATTGCGCATAACCTTTGCAATGTATCGTATGTTATTCAGACAGACAGTGAGAAATTCCATGGAGGAATTCAGGTCAAACATGTAACACGCACTCAATCTGTCTCCCTTCACACTGCTATTGCAACTTATTGTTCAGCACGATTAAAAACCAGGCTTATGACTTTGTCCAATAAACAACACATGTAAAACAACGGGTTTGATCTGAGAAATTTGTATTTAGCTGTCTTCGTATGGTGTTTGCCGTGCATAGTTGAGCGCAGTATTGTTTTAAGAAGAAATGTATTATTCATACCCTTTCTTGCGGCGGTTTACGGTTCTGCATGGTTTATTGCTTTAACAGTTCTTGTAACTCCCGACAGAGATTAAACACCCGTATATGTTCTTTGCTTCTCTAGGTACATAGGAAATCAACAGGTTGGTATGTAGCTTGCAATTATTTTCCTAAAAGATAATGCGGTTGCATGAAATATTCATGATGTTTGGGTTAACAGACAGACATTTCTTTTTGTATCAAGACCATTTGACCCATTGTACAAAATACATTTACATTAGATTTATCTAAGAGTTACCTAATTGATACTTTTTTGTGTGTGTTGAGAACACGTACCTTAGACATTTTGCAAATTTGATCTTGTATCGTTGTTGGATAGTTGACAGAGTCTTTCTAAACAAAACTAATTATGATTAACTGTCTTTGGGATAAACATTTCCCACCGACTTGCATAAAGAGGACAACTGTATATAACATAAAGTTCATCCCCAATTACATGACAGTATTTACATAAGACGGCATCATCCTCAATTTTAGAAACACCCCTACGAATAAGTTGAATACCAAGAGTATTTTGTCGCCATCTAAATTCGGTTATTAGCCATCTATATTCACAATGCTTAATATTTTTCACAAACGATATAAGATTTATGTAGATTATAGAATGAAAGGGTCTTGCTGCCTAGAGGTGCATGCCAATCTTGAAACGAACAATCTTTAACTTTTTCGCTGAGTTTGGCCTAAACGCAGTAGGATTCTTCTAAACATACTTCAAATCTAAAACGGAAGTATTCACAACACAAAACCAGTTAACCAAAGGGAACTGAACACAAGAGTATAAAGTGAGTGACTGAGTTGGGTTTAACGTCGCTTTGAATAGTATTTCACTTATATCACAGCGTGTCAGCTTGATATGGGAGGAAAACCTAAAATAATGCAGATCTCAGACGTTTATCACTTTGGTGAAACCCACGAGCGCGGGTATGGTGCTGACAAACCTTGAAACATAATCGCGTCAAACCGGGATTCGAACACACTGTCATAGGTTTCCGACGTGCCCAAGGGACTCAACTTTGCATAGCGAATTGCAGCGCCTTTAACAAGCGTTTGGGCCAACCGTGCCCCCGTACACAACTGAAACAAACTATCATACAACAAAGATGTTTGAGATGAGATATGTATTGCGTAACGTTCAATGAAGAAAAGGTGGCAATATTACACTACTAAAAACTACAAAATATATGCACAGTAAGTGCAAAACAGGCAGGTTCATTCAACATACAAAGGAGGTACATTAGAACAATTTTGTTTCAAAACAAGTGTATTATAATGATATGGAAACACTATGAGAATTGAGCAAAACTATGGTAATGTTGCACATACAATGAATTTATTTATAATTGTAGATATGATAACAGATCTTGGAAATTGTTTCTAGATAACAGTTGGTAAAAATTATTAAGAATTGTTCCTTTTAATTCTTTATCGTGACTGAGGATAATTTGTAGAAATGATTTTCTTTTTTTGGTTGTATTTTTTACAAGACAAAGTGCTGCTCATCTTCTAAGACATCACATTTTTCACTGAGACATTGTTCCAGTGGGGTTGGTATTTCTGAATATTTACCAGTTATAATTTTTAGTTTGTGATTACTTAAACGAAGTTTGGAGAAATGTGACCTATGAGCTTTGTTTTTCCGATTTGTAAGTAAATTCTCAATATTTATAGATACCTTCACCAAGCTGTATGTTCTTAACTTGCTGTTGGATAAATGGGAATGGGAATGAATGCGTGAACACATTTTTACATCTGGACTGAAGTTTATTTACATTGGATTCATTACTTTTGTTTGTCTTTACTATATACTACCCATCAAAAGTTTAGACTCACTGAAACCACTCACTATATCTCGTAAGAAAATCGTATTTGTGAAAGCTACCGATAAAAAATAACAAAATCATTCATTTAGGTCTTCATATCCTTGTTCACAAGGACGTGTGCATTGATGATTAGTGAACCAGAATGCCGTATTGGCTAGTACCATACAAAAGTGAAATTGAAAAATTTAATAACGGGTATGACCACCCCTGGCTCTAACACAGACATTGCATCGACGTTGCATACCACGAAAGAACAGTTCAATCTGCCGCTGGGGAATGTTTGCCACTCCTCAAACAATGCATTGCGAAGTTGGCGAAGGTTAGCAGGGGGAGGAACTCTGGCATAAACACGCCGTCCCAGCAGATCCCAAACATGCTCAGTGGGGTTCATATCGGGCGATAATGCTCGCTAATCCATTCGATTCACCCCATTTTGTTGTAAACAGGCTGACACGATGCGAGCTCTGTGAGGCCTGGCATTATCATCTTTGAAAACCGCGTGACCTGGCATGGCCCTTAAGAATGGAAGCACAACAGGAATGATGATCTCGTCCCTGTATCTCTGGCCAGTCAGATTTCCATCCTGTACCAGTAAATCAGTTCTTCCAGTCAGGGTGATACCTCCCCAGACGATAACGGATCCACCTCCAAATCGATCATGCTCCACAACATCAACGTCAGCGTACCGCTCTCCCTGACGTCTGTAGACTGGGATCCGACCATCGTTGAAATGCAGATTGAACCTTGATTCGTCGGAGAAGAGTACCCTTGCCCATCTGCGGGGACCCCAGCGTAAATGTCCATTTCCCCAATTCAGTCTGTTCTGACGGTGGCGTGGTGTAAGAGGGGGTCTTACAGCTGGACGACGTGCCCGCAGTCCGTAGTGACGTAATCGGCGGCGTATTGTTGATACAGATACACGTCGTCCTGTAGCTTGTTGGAAAGCATTATTGGCTGCTGTGGCTGTAATGTGTCTGCCCCTGAGAAACAGCAAAAAGACGCATCGGTCATCTTGCTGTGATGTTACCCTTGACCTACCCGACCTGGGTCGATCCTGGACGGAGTTGGTCTGTTGAAAGCGTACCCAGAGGTTGGAAACTGCCTATTTGGATACGCCAAGACGTCTGGCAACCTACCGTTGTGATCTGCCATCTTGTAGCAGTGCCAAGGCTTGATGTCGTTGCTCAATACGGAGACTTCTCCCTCTACCCATGCTTGCATCAAAGAAGAATTTCTCCACTAACTCAGAAGAGCCAACTGCAATCCTTATAAAGATGAATTGCACGAGTATCCCGCGTCAAATTGCTGCTAAAACACGTGCATTATCGTGCATGTGAACACCTGCGTTTTGGTGCGAATTTTGTTTAAAAATGTGCGACATTTCACAGAGTTTTATCAATTAATGAACGAAAAACTCTAATCTTTTCACCGTTACAGATTTGGTTTTACGCCACATCAGTTCATGTGCTAACAGTACCTGTAAAAAGTTTAGAATATTTGGCATTATCTGGTTTGAAACAGTTGAGTATAGTGAGTGGCTACATTTACACTGGTGAGTCTAAACTTTTGATGGGTAGTATATTTCAAAAGTTTGTTTTATTTAACCCAGCCAACATGTTGACCAGCAAGATTGATATTTGCTGTCAAAACATGTTTAAGAATGAGATTTGTTATGCTATCTATATAGGACTTGTACTCAGTTATTTTTTTATATTATTCGAACTAATAGTGGGTATATACTATGTTCTGCCTGTTGGGCACAGTTATATGTTTCCTTGCCTTGGTTTTCCCTGTGCTGACCATTTAAAGACACTGTTTCTTTTATTGTGATTTCCAAAGATAACTACATTAATAACAACCAATTTGTACTTGGCACCAATCCTCTCCTCCCATAGCTTACACTTCCTTCCTCTTCACGTGACATTATATGGCGGGGAACAATTGATGCACTGCAACCATCTCTACTTTGTTTGTATTACAAAAAGCAAAATACCGTCCTCCAAAAAAATCCGAGGGACCACGCTAGACCATTCACTGCAAGACCATATTCGTTTCAGATGCTCCGTTGTACAATACTTGTGGCGTGTTTGGTGCTGGCTTCCGGTCAGCGTGGACGCAATGGAAACAATGACAATGGACGCAATGGAGGCGGAAACAATAACCAAGGTCAAAATGGACGTGATGATGGTAATTATTTCATAACATTGGTCTAAACATTCCCGTCGATAACTTATATTGATGAAGATAAGAGATGCTTTTGATAAAACGGAACTGAAGAGGAAAAGAATCGTCAAGGTTTCTATCATGTCTAATACATTCTCGCAGACGATTGTCAATGCTTTCTGACGAACATGTATTGTCACACATACGCTGAATATTTTTACCATGGTTGTGAGAAGGGCCAGTGCCCTGGGAAATACGTCACATAATAGAGTATAAATATAGAGGTGGGCCTGTGTGGGGAATAAATCACACGGTAGAGTATATGGATAGAGGTGGGCCTGTGTGGGGAATAGATCACACGGTAGAGTATATAGATAGAGGTGGGCCTGTGTGGGGAATAAATCACACGGTAGAGTATATATATAGAGGTGGGCCTGTGTGGGAAATAAATCACACGGTAGAGTATAAATATAGAGGTGGGCATGTGTGGGGAATAAATCACACGGTAGAGTATAAATATAGAGGTGGGCCTGTTTTGGGAATAAATCACACGGTAGAGTATAAAGATAGAGGTGGGTCTGTGTGGGGAATAGATCACACGGTAGAGTATAAATATAGAGAGGGGTCTGTGTGGGGAATAGATCACGCTGTAGAGTATATAGATAGAGGTGGGTCTCTGTGGGGAATAGATCACACGGTAGAGTATAAATAAAGAGGTGGGTCTGTGTGGGGAATAGATCACGCTGTAGAGTATATAGATAGAGGTGGGTCTCTGTGGGGAATAGATCACATGGTAGAGTATAAATATAGAGGTGGGTCTGTGTGGGGAATAGATCACATTGTAGAGTATAAAGATAAAGGTGGGTCTCTGTATGGAATAGATCACGTGATAGAGTGTAGAGATAGAGGGTGGTCTGTGTGAGGAATACGTGGTATGGTAGAGGGTAGAGATAGAGGGTGGTCTCTGTGAGGAATACGCAATATGGTAGAGGGCAGAGATAGAGTGTGGTCTCTGTGGGGAATTCGTGATATGGTAGAGGGTAGGGATAGAGAGTGGTCTGTTTGGGGAATACGTGATATGGTAGAGGGTAGAGATAGAGGGTGGTCTCTGTGAGGAATACGTGATATGGTAGAGGGTAGGGATAGAGGCTGTTTTTGGGGGGAATACGCAATATGGTAGAGATAGAGGGTAGTCTCTGTGGGGAATTCGTGATATGGTTGAGGGAAGAGATAGAGGGTGGTCTCTGTGAGGAATACGCAATATGGTAGAGGGTAGAGATAGAGGTGGTTTCTGTGAGGAATTCGTGATATGGTAGAGGGTACGGATAGAGGGTTGTCTCTGTGGGGAATACGTGATATGGTAGAGGGTACGGATAGAGGGTTGTCTCTGTGGGGAATACGTGATATGGTAGAGGGTAGAGATAGAGGGTGGTCTCTGTGGGGAATTCGTGATATGGTAGAGGGTAGGGATAGAGAGTGGTCTGTTTGGGGAATACATGATATGGTAGAGGGTAGAGATAGAGGGTGGTCTCTATGGGGAATACGTGATATGGTAGAGGGTAGAGATAGAGGGTGGTCTGTTTTGGGAATACGTGATATGGTAGAGGGTAGAGACAGAGGGTGGTCTCTGTGAGGAATACGTGATATGTTAGAGGGTAGAGATAGAGGGTGGTCTCTGTGGGGAATACGCGATATTGTAGAGGGTAGGGATAGAGGCTGGTCTGTTTGGGGAATACGTGATATGGTAGAGGGTAGAGATAGAGGGTGGTTTGTTTTGGGAATATGTGATATGGTAGAGGGTAGAGATAGAGGATGGTCTCTGTGAGGAATACGTGATATGGTAGAGGGTAGAGATAGAGGGTGGTTTGTTTTGGGAATATGTGATGTGGTAGAGGGTAGGGATGGAGGTTGGTCTGTTTGGGGAATACGCGATATGGTAGAGGGTAGAGATAGAGGGAGGTCTCTGTGAGGAATACGTGATATGGTAGAGGGTAGAGATAGAATAGAGGGTGGTTTGTTTGGGGAATACGCGATATAGTAGAGTGTAGGGATACGAGGTTGGACGATGTGGGGCTAACGTGACGTAGTGGGGTGCAAGGGTGGAGGTGGGTTTATGTGGGAACACGTTGCACGGTAGAGTGTAGAGATAGAGGGTGGTCTGTGTTTGGAATGCGTGATATGGTAGAGGGTAGAGATAGGGGTTTGCCTACGTGAGGAATACATGATATGGTAGAGGGTAGAAATAGAGCTTTGCCTCATGTGAGGAATACGTGTTTTATCGGAGTATAGAGATAGAGGCGGATCTATGTTAAAAATACGTGATATTGTATAAAGATAGAGGCGGGTCTATGTGGGAGGAATGTGGTATGGTACGATGTAGATATTTCTATGTTTCTTCGTGGATTAATAATGTAGGTATAGAGAAAGTGTGGGATACGGTGGTCGTCACTGGAAAGAAGAGATTTTTATTTGTTTTATTTTATTTAGAGCTGTGTCGTGCAAATCCCCGGTCGGATGTGGTATTGGTGCCCGGGTCAGCTTGCCGTGCTTTCGTAAGCTGCGAGAACAGCACTTCCCTGGGACGAACTCGGTGTCTGGGCGGAACATCCTACAGCTTCGATACCAACCAATGTGAATTCGATGCCCCCTGTGACGACCCTTCTGCTCGGGGTAAGATCATGCACCTCATTATATAAACTTCAAAATACCTTAGTTTAGGTAATACAGAAATTAGTTTGAATAATAATTCAAATAATATAAATCACCTCTCTATTGTTGTGTTTGTAACCATCTTTGCATTGACCCTAAGGGGTTGGATGTGATAGTGAAATGGTAAAAGGCTATTGTAGTGAAAAGATAGCCACGTATAAAATGTGTGAATTTTGCCTCTATGTACATATTTTAGAAAATCCCAAACTTCGTGCCGCAAATATAATGACTATCACCAACTGCCATAAGAATGTCAAAACGCAATGTCCGAAATAACGTCAATGACTATCATTATTTTAGGAACTTTCATCTTGCCAATTGGAAAACAGTTTAGCGTGTATACAAGCAGGATAGAGCCAATACCGTAATTTACAAGCTAGTTTACAACGTCAGTACTTCACGGGTTTCTCTATATTACATTTCTCCTTATCCTCACACACAGGACTTACACGCGGTGAAGTAGAGATGCGTGTCTGTGATCTCGGTGATCAGTGGTCAGAGCAGTGGCTGGATCATGGCCGTGGCTTGATTCGATGTTATATAAACAGCGACTACACCACAGAATATAGAGATGAAAAGCTACAATATGTAGACGTAAACCCACTATATAGAGATGTAAGCCTACAATATGTAGACGTAAACCCACTATATAGAGATGTAAGCCCACAAATGTAGACGTAAACCCACTGTATAGAGATGTAAGCCCACAAATGTAGACGTAAACCCACTGTATAGAGATGTAAGCCTACAATATGTAGACGTAAACCCACTATATAGAGATGTAAGCCCACAAATGTAGACGTAAACCCACTGTATAGAGATGTAAGCCCCCAATATGTAGACGTAACCCCACAATATGGAAATGTAAGCCTACAATATGTAGACGTAAACCCACAATATGGAGATGTAAGCCTACAATATGTAGACGTAAACCCACAATATGGAAATGTAATCCCACAATATGTAGACGTAACCCCACAATATGGAGATGTAAGCCTACAATATGTAGACGTAAACCCACAATATGGAGATGTAAGCCTACAAAATGTAGACGTAAACCCACAATATGGAAATGTAAGCCCACAATATGTAGACGTAACCCCAAAATATGGAGATGTAAGCCTACAATATGTAGACGTAAACCCACAATATGGAAATGTAAGCCCACAATATGTTGACGTAACCACACAATATGGAAATGTAAGCCTACAATATGTAGACGTAAACCCACTGTATAGAGATGTAAGCCTACAAAATGTAGACGTAACCCCACAATATGGAAATGTAAGCCTACAATATGTAGACGTAAACCCACTATATGGAGATGTAAGCCTACAATATGTAGACGTAAACCCACAATATGGAAATGTAAGCCTACAATATGTAGACGTAAACCCACTGTTTAGAGATGTAAGCCTACAAAATGTAGACGTAAACCCACAATATGGAAATGTAAGCCTACAATATGTAGACGTAAACCCACAATATGGAGATGTAAGCCTACAATATGTAGACGTAAACCCACAATATGGAAATGTAAGCCCACAATATGTAGACGTAAACCCACAATATGGAGATGTAAGCCTACAATATGTAGACGTAACCCCACAATATGGAAATGTAAGCCTACAATATGTAGACGTAAACCCACAATATGGAGATGTAAGCCTACAATATGTAGACGTAACCCCACAATATGTAGATGTTAGCCCACAAATGTAGACGTAAACCCACTGTTTAGAGATGTAAGCCTACAAAATGTAGACGTAACCCCACAATATGGAAATGTAAGCCTACAATATGTAGACGTAAACCCACAATATGGAAATGTAAGCCTACAATATGTAGACGTAACCCCACAATATGTAGATGTAAGCCTACAATATGTAGACGTTACCCACAGTATGGAGATGTAAGCCTACAATATGTAGACGTAAACACACAATATGGAAATGTAAGCCCACAATATTTAGACGTAAACCCACTATATAGAGATGTAAGCCTACAATATGTAGACGTAACCCCACTATATAGAGATGTAAGCCCATAATATGTAGACGTAAACCCACAATATGGAAATGTAAGCCCCCAATATGTAGACGTAACCCCACTGTATAGAGATGAAAGCCTACAAAATGTAGACGTAAACCCACAAGATGTCATTCATGAAAGTTCATGCTGGAAGTGGGGCAGCGGGGTAGCTCAAGGCGTTTGCTCGTCACGCTGAAGGCCTCGGTCCGATTTCCACATGGGTACAATGTGTGAAGCCCATTTTTCTGGTGTCCCCGCCGTGATATCACTGGAATGTTGCAAAAGCGACGTAAAACCATACTCACTCACTCACTCGTCGTTCACATAAATTCAAGCAATTGTATCTTAGATCAGACATAAGATCGGGCTGTATGCTTATGTCCAGATGTAGGCGCATCGTAATGCAATCACTTCCGACTTTAATTGGATTATTTAAATTCCTAATATAAGAATTGTGCGTGGTGAGGCGAAACCAGTTTAGAAGACTTTGCACGATATAGATCTTTGGTTGCCGAATCTGTGCCATCAGTTTCAGCTGTGAAGCAACGTTTGTGACTCTGTTTCCGATAGTGATTATTAACGATACAGATAACCTGATCAGGATAAACTTCATAACAACATGCTTGGGTCATTAAACATCCGAACTACGCCATCATCATATCTGCTGCAGCGCGCCAACATCTGTCCCCACTTTTTGTTCTTACAGCCTTCATATACAGTTTTGTTGATTTCCACTTCGTGTAGGTTTATACTTTTCCTTGACGATTACGATACTTTCTATTTGTAAACGGCGAGGTATGAATATCCGATACATCCACCAAGTGTTGATTGTCGAGCGGAAACACCGGCGGTGTCAATCACCGTCTTAGGTCCGAGACCAAACATATAAAGCTGTTCGATTTAAAAAAAAGTGTCTTTGCAGTTGTCCTATGTGGATATTTAATAATTGAGTGAAAGTTAATTCTTATCATTTTTTTAATCACAATTTCTTACTGCATTGTCATACAATCCTAAACGATAAAAATGTCCAAACATGTTTTTAATAAGCGTCTAAACACACCGAAAGGGGTAAGGATCTCACTACATTTCTTAACTACCGCTCAAATATTATACTCATAGTATATGACAATAGTATGTCCAATGCTTACCATCAATGTGTTGAATGGGTACACGTCATACCTGTCGTACTCACACAAGGCATTGGATTGGGAAAGTTGCCATTTGCATTAAAAGCTACACAGTGTTTTGTTTGTTGCAGTCAACGTTAACAACCCATGCGATGACGGTGTCGGACCGGAGCAGTTCGGGGAATCATACCTTGTTGCCTTTCCAAACGTGTGCAACCAATTTATTATGTGTGGAAACGGGATGCCTCAGGGACATTACTTCTGTGGCGAAGGGTTGCTGTTTGACACGACCAGCAATCAGTGCAACACTACGAGTAATGTCGACTGTACTGGTCGCGACATTATTGTTGAGCATCAGGACATGACTGGCTAGACCAGTACTGTTACGTTTGGAAGCGATGCACTATAGGATGATTTAATGTACGTATTCACATCATTATTGATTACTGGAAGGTACTCATTGCATCCCAACATATTGTAAGGATCTGAGCGTCCGATCCTACTTATTCGAGGGAGTGATGAGACATGTCTCATAATAAAGTGATGAATAGAATTTCTTTGTCACCTAATGTTACCTGTACGTCTACTTCATGGTCAGCTACAACGTTTGTTGGTTAAAGTGCTCACAGAGCGGACACTTAAAGGCCTCAGGAATCAGTCCTCCATCATGCACTTCGAGTCTGATGTCAGTACCTTCGGTTTGGTGAAATATATGCCTGCTACCATACAGCATCAAACACGATTCAAGTATCGTGACTCAAACCAGCCTGATACGAAACATTCCCAATGCAGTATGCTGCATAACTACTGCATGCATAACACCCTTTGCGATGATTTTAACGAGTTCAACCTTGCTTTGAATTTGACCGCGCCTTTGGCCTTCACCATGTGCCAAGTAAATGTACAATAACTGGCAATGAATATTTGTTTTGACAATGACATTGACCTTTGACGGACCCACCACTGATGACATTTATTAAAGTAACGGGTGAAGGTTTTGGCAGATACATGTACATGCATATTGCAAGATTTTACCTTGGATAAGTTTCCACGAAGACTTTCTCACAGCATTGCCTCATCCTAGAAAAGGTTTAAACCAAGATGGGTGATACAATGCGTCCAAATATTCACTTCCAAGTCTACAGAGGTACAACTAACAACGACATAACCATGTCTTTAAACCCCTGAACGCTGACTTTCGGGCCAGCCCCAGTGAATCCATGTACTTAGGAAGTGTACCTATCAGTGATATTTTTTTATCTCGTGAAATTTGACCTTCTTATGATGCTGTACCAAGGGATTTCCACAATGGGAAGGTTCCCTCAATAAAACCAATAGTTTTTGCATTGCCAATCTATCATTAGTGACGGTCAAATCCGACAAAACTTTAGTAGCCATGTCACAGGATATCCTTTTATCCAGGAGTGTGTTAAGCAGCAGAACATCTTCCAATGTTTAGATGGAGAATTATATTATACCTCAGGCTTTGGTTACAGTTCATATGGCATTAAACACAAAACGCAAAACCGTCGGGGATTTGAATACTTTATTTGTGAATTATGTTTCTCCAGAAACATACATGTACATACCAATGAAGTGACACTATGTGCATCTGTGTACGAGCTAGCACCTGGTTGGGGTGGGGGGTGGGGGGTGGGGGGTGGGAGGCATCCTCTACATGATGCAGCAGCCATCACATCACCCACCCACACGCTATTCTGACAACCCTGACGGGTTAAAAACAGATTTATAAGACGTCACCCTGGGATGTGACTCTGTATATAATACGCTAGACAGTACAGTAGGATGTTTGAAATAAGTATATATTATCATTTGCAATAGATTGTGTTGTTTTATGTACACATACCAAAGAGAAACAACACAGATGCAGTTTATTCTGATTCCTAAAACCCTAGAAACGCTACCAAGTAGCCTGAAGTAGAGAAAAGAAATTGCAAAAGCATCTTAAGTTCTGTGTATCATTCGTACGCAGTGGGCAAAGAACTGGTAGAGAAGGATATGCAACCCTTATTAACAACAGGAGCATGACCTGTTGATGGTGTGAAACACGCGGTTAAAGGGGATTAACCCAGGACTTCATCTTTTACTCTTTATGGCTCGCTCATGGAAACTTACATTGCTTCCTCCGCAGACAATTCGTGATAATCGACCACTAGTGCCAGTATATGCTTTGTCAAATCACTCGACGAGAGAACCACGTTATTTTACAAGATCTGTTAATTCTAATTAAACACGGACACCGACAACAGAAAGGCACTTTCATGTGTAATTCCTATGACGAACTGACGTAGATGATGACAACCACGATCTAAATACCCATTAAAACATTTATTTTGTGAGAAGTGGCTCCAAATTGAGTTTTAATATTTGACACTGATCATATAATGAATTCGATAACATATTAAACATGAGTTCTCGTTATTATAACTGATCTGTCAGTTACATAAATTGAGTTTTCGAAATGGCTCAGTTTTAGGACGTCAGATTTTGATGACTCAATAAACGGTAACGATCCGCGGGGATCTCTTGGCTTGTCAACAATAGGTTAAAATAAACAAACATACGACTAAGTTGGCGACAAAGTTGCCCTTATTACGTAGTTTGTCATGGTATGTGACACAGGCGGAGAAAGACGCGTGTCAAAATAAGCTAATGACAACGTTGCAGCTGGTCTGTCCATTGTCCTGTCCCTTTGTCTGCTTCACAAAGCCATCCACATGGGCTGCCGTCATCACTGACAGTTGCTAAAGACGTTTATGACTGAACGAGGAGGTTAAACAGCGAAATGCCGCCTTACGGTGTATACGTCGGGGTTTCATGGTGACTAAAGAGTCATCATTTGTGGAAAAATAACATATCTCTCGAAATACAATAAAAACAAATACGTATATATTCATGCATGAAGATGACACTATTGTAGAATCAACACACAGCTGGTTGAGTTGGATGGCATAAACTGACATGACATATATTCAATACATGAATAAACAATGAGCGATGTTAACACATGGGGTATCAAACTGAACTTGTCCATAATATCCATTGATAGAGGGCGGTTGGTGCTGTCGGCATGTGCGGGTAGCCTTCCTTCAGTGATGTACACTCCATGCTTCAAATCGTACCAGAATGCATACTTCGCTCCGAGGGTCGTTGTGAGGAGTACATATAGGCCACTGGTGTACACTGAACAACAAGCGCAAGGCACCGACATTGGACTGTTGTCTGGCGTGGACATGATGCATGAACAGTCTGGGTTCAGTTGAATCTGGCATGAAGGCAAGGCTAGGACGGATGATCGATTTAAATACAGTAGAACACATACAGTGACGTGATGTGACAATATGTACAAGACCCTACCTAGCACCTGGTGCTGAAACCTGGATGATATCAAGCATATCTCAGCAAGACACACTCTGTTACGGCAACAACGTTCTAAAGAGCACCATTTGCAAATTTATTCAACATATGATCTTCGAGCTACCATATAATAAGTGAGGCCTGTGATATCAAAAGACACAAGCACATAAACAGTGTTTACAGATCGTTCCGAATAGCACCAAGATCTCACAACTGTCCCCAATTGAGCAACTCACTGTGCCGCCATTATGAATGTGCGCATGAAGTGATGACATAGTTCAAAGTGTAGTCCATTACGAAGGGGCACCTGTCTCACTGCGACATTTGGTGCCCGTAGGGGGTGTGATGCATCGTGTTGTATTCCTGCGCTTTGAGACGTAAACACGCTATACTCGAGCCCACATTGGGCGGGGGAGAGTAAGAATGATTTGCCAGCGCACAACTTGACGAGGTGGTAACTGGGCTGTAACTGGGTGGTGTTGGCCAGGACAGGTAATCGGAGTTCATAGGGGACGGCCGAGGGGTGATTGGTTGTTCAATGGGGGTGTTTTCGGGACTTCGGCCATATATGCTTTGTCTCTGAGCCATCAAATTTCGTTCGTTTCTTCTAAACTTTGCTCGTCGATTCTGAAACCACACCTGAAATGACCAAAACGTGTTTATGACGCAGACATTGAGCGACACGTTCAGACTTGTGACATTTACCAGACATGGAGGAGCATACACTGAACGCAGTGGATATAAGCTAGAATTGTTCTCCTGCATGCTTCAATTAATATGGCAACTTTTGTCGTCATAGAAATTTATTTCCTATACACCTGTTACAACCTGTTTCTGCCATGAATGTCTGCTGCCACCAGTGCAAATGATGTGCAGCATATGCACAGTACACATTGATAACTTGCCTGAACTCTTGCTTCGCTCAAATTGACCCGCCTGGCTAATTCCTCCCGAACAAAGGCATCTGGGTAGTGTGTCCTCTCGAACACTCGCTCAAGCGCCGCAAGCTGGGTGCTGTTGAACGTTGTGCGGTTACGTCGCTGTTTCCGCCGCCGTTTGCCGTCACCGTCATCCTTCTTGTCGTCATCGTTGTCGGCTGTAAGGAAAGAGACTCTTTGTTCAACATATCGAGTGATTCATCTTCTCAACACATGACATACAGAGTGATGCACATCCCTCAACTATACATGATATACAGAGTGATGCACATCCCTCAACTATACATGACGTACAGAGTGATGCACATCCCACAACTATACAAGACATACAGACTGATGCACACCCCACAACTATACAAGACATACAGAGTGATGAACATCCCACAACATACATGATGTACAGACTGATGCACATCCCACAACTATACAAGACATACAGAGTGATGAACATCCCACAACATCACGACCGCCTCCGTGGTCTTGTGGTAGAGCGTCCGCCCGGAAAGCGGAAGGTCCAGGGTTCGATCCCGGGCCGCGTCATACAAAAAGACGTTAAAAGATTGTACTTGTTGTTACCCTGTCTGGCGCTCGGCATTAAGGGGCTAAAACAAGGACTGGTCGGCTCGGAGTCAGTATACTGTGTCTGAGTGGGGTATTCATGTTAAACTGCGGCATGGTATCTCAGTGAGCTAGCACTATAAATCGGCATCAGTCCGGACTAGTACAAGCAGCCACACACACACACATACACGTGCATGCACGTCGCTATATAAGTGCAATAATCTTGGACGCGAAGGTTAAACCCAATTTCACCTCACCTCATCTCACAACATACATGATGTACAGAGTGATGCACATCCTACAATATACATGACATACAGAGTGATACACATCCCACAACATACATGATGTACAGAGTGATGCACATCCCACAACTATACATGACGTACAGAGTGATGCACATCCCACAACTTTACATGATGTACAGAGTGATGGACATCCCACAACATACATGATGTACAGAGTGATGGACATCTCACAACATACATGATGTACAGAGTGATGGACATCCCACAACATACATGATGTACAGAGTGATGCACATCCCACAACTATACATAATGTACAGAGTGATGCACATCCCACTACATACATGATGTACAGAGTGATGCACATCCCACAACTATACATAATGTACAGAGTGATGCACATCCCACAACTATACATGACGTACAGAGTGATGCACATCCCACAACTTTACATGATGTACAGAGTGATGCACATCCCACAACTATTCATAATGTACAGAGTGATGCACATCCCACAACATACATGATGTACAGAGTGATGGACATCCCACAACATACATGATGTACAGAGTGATGCACATCCCACAACTAAACATGATGTACAGAGTGATGGACATCCCACAACATACATGATGTACAGAGTGATGCACATCCCACAACTATACATGATGTACAGAGTGATGCACATCCCACAACATACATGATGTACAGAGTGATGGACATCCCACAACATACATGATGTACAGAGTGATGCACATCCCACAACTATACATGACGTACAGAGTGATGCACATCCCACAACTTTACATGATGTACAGAGTGATGCACATCCCACAACTATTCATAATGTACAGAGTGATGCACATCCCACAACATACATGATGTACAGAGTGATGGACATCTCACAACATACATAATGTACAGAGTGATGCACATCCCACAACTATACATGATGTACAGAGTGATGGACATCCCACAACATACATGACGTACAGAGTGATGCACATCCCACAACTATACATGATGTACAGAGTGATGCACATCCCACAACATACATGATGTACAGAGTGATGCACATCCCACAACATACATGATGTACAGAGTGATGCACATCCCAAAACTATACATGATGTACAGAGTGATGCACATCCCACAACATACATGATGTACAGAGTGATGCACACCCCACAACATACATGATGTACAGAGTGATGGACATCCCACAACATACATGATGTACAGAGTGATGGACATCCCACAACATACATGATGTACAGAGTGATGGACATCCCACAACTATACATGATGTACAGAGTGATGCACATCCCACAACATACATGATGTACAGAGTGATGGACATCCCACAACATACATGATGTACAGAGTGATGCACATCCCACAACTATACATAATGTACAGAGTGATGCACATCCCACAACTATACATAATGTACAGAGTGATGCACATCCCACAACTATACATAATGTACAGAGTGATGGACATCCCACAACTATACATGATGTACAGAGTGATGCACATCCCACAACTATACATAATGTACAGAGTGATGGACATCCCACAACTATACATGATGTACAGAGTGATGCACATCCCACAACATACATGATGTACAGAGTGATGCACATCCCACAACATACATGATGTACACAGTGATGCACATCCCACAACTATACATAATGTACAGAGTGATGCACATCCCACAACTATACATAATGTACAGAGTGATGCACATCCCACAACTATACATAATGTACAGAGTGATGGACATCCCACAACTATACATGATGTACAGAGTGATGCACATCCCACAACTATACATAATGTACAGAGTGATGGACATCCCACAACTATACATGATGTACAGAGTGATGCACATCCCACAACATACATGATGTACAGAGTGATGCACATCCCACAACATACATGATGTACAGAGTGATGCACATCCCACAACATACATGATGTACAGAGTGATCCCCACCCTACAACTATACATGATGTACAGAGTGATGCACATCCCACAACATACATGATGTACAGAGTGATGCACATCCCACAACTATACATGATGTACAGAGTGATGCACATCCCACAACATACATGATGTACAGAGTGATGGACATCCCACTACATACATGACGTACAGAGTGATGCACACCCCACAACTATACATGATGTACAGAGTGATGCACATCCCACAACTATACATGATGTACAGAGTGATGCACATCCCACTACATACATGACGTACAGAGTGATGCACATCCCACTACATACATGACGTACAGAGTGATGCACATCCCACAACTATACATGACGTACAGAGTGATGGACATCCCACAACATACATGACATACAGAGTGATGCACATCCCACAACATACATGATGTACAGAGTGATGCACATCCCACAACATACATGATGTACAGAGTGATGCACATCCCACAACATACATGACGTACAGAGTGATGCACATCCCACAACTATACATGATGTACAGAGTGATGCACATCCCAAAACTATACATGACGTACAGAGTGATGCACATCCCACAACTATACATGATGTACAGAGTGATGCACATCCCACAACATACATGATGTACAGAGTGATGCACATCCCACAACATACATGATGTACACAGTGATGCACATCCCACAACTATACATAATGTACAGAGTGATGCACATCCCACAACTATACATAATGTACAGAGTGATGCACATCCCACAACTATACATAATGTACAGAGTGATGGACATCCCACAACTATACATGATGTACAGAGTGATGCACATCCCACAACTATACATAATGTACAGAGTGATGGACATCCCACAACTATACATGATGTACAGAGTGATGCACATCCCACAACATACATGATGTACAGAGTGATGCACATCCCACAACATACATGATGTACAGAGTGATGCACATCCCACAACATACATGATGTACAGAGTGATCCCCACCCTACAACTATACATGATGTACAGAGTGATGCACATCCCACAACATACATGATGTACAGAGTGATGCACATCCCACAACTATACATGACGTACAGAGTGATGCACATCCCACAACTATACATGATGTACAGAGTGATGCACATCCCACAACATACATGATGTACAGAGTGATGCACATCCCACAACATACATGATGTACACAGTGATGCACATCCCACAACTATACATAATGTACAGAGTGATGCACATCCCACAACTATACATGACGTACAGAGTGATGGACATCCCACAACATACATGACATACAGAGTGATGCACATCCCACAACATACATGATGTACAGAGTGATGCACATCCCACAACATACATGATGTACAGAGTGATGCACATCCCACAACATACATGACGTACAGAGTGATGCACATCCCACAACTATACATGATGTACAGAGTGATGCACATCCCAAAACTATACATGACGTACAGAGTGATGCACATCCCACAACTATACATGATGTACAGAGTGATGCACATCCCACAACATACATGATGTACAGAGTGATGCACATCCCACAACATACATGATGTACAGAGTGATGCACATCCCACAACATACATGATGTACAGAGTGATGCACATCCCACAACATACATGATGTACAGAGTGATGCACATCCCACAACTATACATGATGTACAGAGTGATGCACATCCCACAACATACATGATGTACAGAGTGATGGACATCCCACAACATACATGATGTACAGAGTGATGGACATCCCACAACATACATGATGTACAGAGTGATGGACATCCCACAACATACATGATGTACAGAGTGATGCACACCCCACAACATACATGACGTACAGAGTGATGCACATCCCACAACATACATGATGTACAGAGTGATGCACATCCCACAACATACATGATGTACAGAGTGATGCACATCCCACAACATACATGATGTACAGAGTGATCCCCACCCTACAACTATACATGATGTACAGAGTGATGCACATCCCACAACATACATGACGTACAGAGTGATGCACATCCCACAACATACATGATGTACAGAGTGATGCACATCCCACAACATACATGATGTACAGAGTGATGCACATCCCACAACATACATGATGTACAGAGTGATCCCCACCCTACAACTATACATGATGTACAGAGTGATGCACATCCCACAACTATACATGATGTACAGAGTGATGCACGTTCACCTATAGCGTGGATAGATCCCACCTACACAGTGATAATGATCCACCCCAGAAACTACGGTCAACGGTGTGATACAGTGATGGTAAATTAGTGGTTTGTCAAGAAAATATTGAA